TCAATGTGAAACGATTTTCCAGTTAAAGAGTCGAAATTTGTCCGGAGAAAAAAAACACTCCGAGTACAAATTTTCCGATATTCTTTGGAAATCGGAATAAAAATCGAAAAAAATCAATTTTTTTGAATAATCCCATGGATAAATTCCCATAGTCTTTGCAAGTTCATTATTTTAGGCAAGATAAACATCCACTCTTAATTTTTTTGGAAGTATCAGTCTGATTCTAGATTTTTACGACCAACCAAAGAGCCTTTTGGATTCAATTGATAATCCGAAAGAATCAAACACACACACGCACACACATATAGCACACACGCACAATCAACACACAAACACACACACACACACAATCGAGAGCAAACTACCATAGTAGTTTGCATAGAACCAAAAATTTAAAGTTAAATGAAGCAAAAAAAGCATTGGTTGTGTATTTCTGCAAACTGATCATGAATTCGAGACTAGTTCTCCTATTATGTCCTGCAAGATGGTGTGAGCCTCTTCTCTTTAAGCTCACATCATGGAAGTTGAATTTTGGAAAATCCCTCCAATGCTTTATTTGGTTTGCTGCTTTTGAAAATACACAAAATTTGGTTCTTGGGAAACTGTTGGTATATGAGAGCTTTTGTTTATAGTTGATAGAATTGCTCATCGAGTTTTGTTCAAAAAAGGTCAATCATAAGCGTTATTTAAGAGAACTATTCCAATTCTTTTGATAGTAAATTGAGAGCTCTTCTTCGTCCAATAAACTTAAGATGGTAACTATTAGTAGCAGCGGTGGATGATGCATGAATCTGTCTAGGCAGAGCTTAATTATTTAGCAACCATAGTCAATTGTACTGATTCTTAGAAGAATTAGCACCAGTCGATAAATCTTTTTATGGAAATTAGAGGGCTTTTTTGAATAAAAACAGTCGGTAAAACAAAACCTTTATAGAACAGTAGATTTCTGACGAAAAAACATTAGGAAAATGCTGTTTTTAAGAACGTAGACTTAATAAAAAAATTGTTGCGAGAGATGCAAAACTATCGAGCCCTTTCAGATTTTGGTTTTTGGTTTTTGCTACGATACTTTTTTGGGCAAAAATGAAAACTCATTACAAAAACTGCTTGTTCCAGCTCAAGTAGCACAAAAAATGCCGCACACATTTCTTTTCAAAAAGAAAAAAAAACGACTTGCTTGCGATTTTTTAAGAACATAAGTTTTGATTGAGTACAGTTGTTGTTGTAAAATGGTTGATTATGGAAGTTAAAATTATTTTAAAAATTGAAAATGTAAGACCAACGACACACAAGAACACCATTTGTTCAATTTTATTTTTGAGTATATACAAATGCTTAATGAAATTTGTCAAAAGTAATCAGAAAAGAACATTTTCATTCAAACAAAGAAAATATTGATCTGCTGAGTGATACGCGGATCAAAACATCGAACGTAAGATTGGCAGTGAGTGCAAAGGGGCCCAAATGAGTCAGATTTCATGCTCAAAATTTTTCAAGCTATAGTAGCAAAAATCATTCAGACCAACCAAACCATGTCTTAAGCGCTCGATCGACAAAAAAAAAGATTTTATGTTTTATTTTACTTCAAAACTAATCCCAAGTGCGACCGCAAAAAAACTATGAGGTATCACATCAAGTATTAGTCGAAATTGGCATTAGAAAATATATAGGTTAATCAAATAGTTTGGAAATTTAGATGAAAATCCATGCTTTATTTTTAAGGCAACTCAGAAAATGTTCTGGAAAACAACAATCTTAAATTGAATTCGTTGACTATTTGTCTGATCATCCAAACAACTAATGACAAGTTTTAATTGATAAACTTCATTCAATATCAATAAAAATTAATTAAATTGTGTTTTTTTAATGGATTTTTTTTTTCAGATCCACAAAAAGGAATGCGTTTTTTTACTAGATTTTACAGTTTGTCGGAACTAAAAGTAAAATTTATTTTTTGACTTTTTGAGGTAAAACTTAAAAAAATAAATTTGACAATACTTGAAAATACGTGGAAAATATAAGCAACAGAAAGGAACAACGCTTGAATAATTTTTCTATCTTTCTCAGGGGCGGATCTAGGATTTTCTCGAGGGGGGGGCGGATTTTCAAAAAATTTTCCAAAATTTTGACGACCTTTTTTTTTTTTTTAGGTCGACCAAATTGATTTTTCGAGCTCTCCCAAAGCACTGTTTTGCCCCTACTTTGGCTAAATTTTCTGCGCCGCAGGCAAATTTTTGAAAAAACAGTCAAAAAAGCCGTTTTTGGGCAATTTTTGAAAAATTTTGACAAAAAAAATCGCGTTTTTTTGGCGCGCGCTCCCCCTCAAAGTTAGTATATATTGGCGCCGAAGGCGCCTTTAGAAAAATTTTAGGGTCGGTCGGCCAAAACTGGATTTCTGAAAAAGTATCAAAGGGGGGACCCTTTGGGTCGGCAGGGGGTCGAATCCCTGAGGGGGGGCGTCCGCCCCCCCCGCCCCCCCCCCTAAATCCGCCCCTGATCTTTCTCTAGTTTTTCTATAGTTTTTCTCTAGTTTTTATAGATAAACTGGGTCGGATCTTTCTTAAACATTTTAGTAAACTGAAAAAATTGTGCCCCAGAAGTTACCAGATTAAAAAATATCTATACATCAAGATCGTTGATTGGAGCTTCTACTTTTCAGACTACTTACCAGCATGTCGAGAGCACATTTATAAAACGGGTCAGTCATCTCCCATTATTTCCATAATTATGAGGCAAGTTAAATCTATCTCAAAAAAAAACAAATAGAGAAATTTTGCCGAATGTTTTTTTTAAAAAACTTTTTCTGTGCGTTTAATCAAAAAGAATTGTCCTGCATATTAAAAAAAAATGACTTTCACTTTTCAACTTAACACTAAATTTTAAAAAAATGGAAATTTTTTGAATGTCTACTACGAACAAGGACCGGAAGTTAAATGAGGTGGATGAAACCATTTTGAGACTGATTGCAGAGATAAAGCATAGTAAAACGAGAGTTGTTTTGTCTCGCTGGCAACAAAGATGTGGGAAAAAATTTTGCAACTGGTATGAGTTATTACTTCCAGTTTTTGAAGAGCTCCATGAGATGCTTTGAAAATAAAAGCGCAAATGGTCTCAACGAGCTCTACTAGGAAACTGTGAAATGACGCACTGTATGGAATATCAAAATTGTTTTAATTGTATACAAAATTAACATTCAAACGGCAAAAAAAATGTTTTTGATGAGTAAATACTAACAAAATGGCAGTGAAGACACTTAAAACACAATTCATGATAAACAGCTGTAAATAAAATTTTCTTACCCTATATGGTATTATAAATACTTAAACCCACGGTCGCTGTTGAATGTTTGGGTGTCTTTTTTGACGATTAATTAATTTTTTCAGAACAATGCGAGGCGGCAGCAATGAAAAAATCTAATTTGTGTGTCCCAGTTCAACTCCACATGGAATTTTTCTTTCTGATTTCACCCTCGAAACCAATTTTCTCAAGTTGCAATTACAGCAAAGCTTATTGTGGTGCATTATCATTAGATCAAGGAATTCAAGAATGATTAGAAGAAAACAAAATTTTGAAAACGTATTCCAATTTATATATATAGGAGAAAAAAAATTTGGATGCAACAATGTATTCGTAAAAAAATTACGATCTGAGCACAACAGCGTCTACTTTATCAGTTTCAACTCTAAATTTGGAGTATAAAAGTCCTTAAGTGAGGAAAACAAAATGAAAACTTTATCAAGTAAATTACGCTTAACAGCAACAAAATGAAACAGATATCATTCAGCGTCATGAACGTTTGTACACATTTGACAAGTTTGATCGGGGGATCAAACTTCGAAAATGTGATCAAGACATAAAAAGAATTGAAACCACTAAGAAATCGAAGCTTGATGAATTTAATCATGATGTAGCAAATAAATATTCAATAGACTCTGATGAGTTTACATTGGTTGAAATGGTGTTTAGTTCATATAAAATCAATATTTGCTGTCCTTTTTTAATTTTTACGGTTTTTTCTCTGGTACGTTTTTTGAATTTTTTAACATTTTTTCTCTTTGGAAACAAAAAAAGAATAAAAATAGATTCACTGACAAATTGTTAATAAGATAAAAAGATGGAATGCTCTCATGAGGCGCTTGCTATCAGGCTGTAGGCCGTGAGTTCCCATTCAAGTTTGGCGGCCGGTTATTGATTTCTTATACTAATTTCTCGTAATATAAGACGTCCTTGTGAACAATTTATGTTTTGAAAAAATCAATTTTTCAATTTTTTATAAGGCTCTGCAGAAATAAATGAAAAAAACAACAATCAAACATACTTTTTTCAGCTACTACCAAGTATGAAATTTTTAATGGAAATTTCTGTGCAGCAACCCGTTTCCCTTGTTTTTAGTACATCATATGTTTGTTTTATTTGCACACTTTGTACCATCAACGCAATTCAGTACTATTATGACACTTCTTTGAACTTCTTGCAAAGTGAGCTCTACAAACCGTTCGCGCAAGCTTTCATCAATTTTTATTGAAAGACCAATTTCAAGCGGGAACAGTATTTCCTCAGAAAGCGATTTTTATTTCCGCCAGACGGAAATTTATGATTTTTGGAGCGTTGTAATTTTAGCTTAAGTATAACGTTCCCCATCTTACTTTAATATTTATGTATAGGCAATTTTTCTGTCCTATCATCAAAGTTGATTTCATCTATCATTTTTTCTAATCTGGTGTTTCTTTTATTCCTTTGAGAAAACCATTCATTCAAAACTCCCCGTCGCGTGTTCAGGATCAATAAATCTGTTCTAGCATCAAAGCGACAATTATTTGCGACTACAGCAGAACAACTGCAAACATTTTTCTTACGTTTTTTTTACTGTTTTTGAAAAAAAAACATCTGTTATTTTGGTTCATTATATATTCAACAAAGCCTTTAATTAAACAATCCAAAACTTACTTTTTATCCTCTGACTTGTGTTTAAGATACTTGTCACAACTCGTTCGCCTTGTTTCTTTAATAAACGTGCCAACTGTACAAAAAAAACATACATTTTGCAGCACATTGTATACTTCTGCATGGTGTAAAATCAACGTTTACGTTGTGATCGACCAACTTCGAATTATATGTTCTTGTCAAAAACTGACGCCTTTCTAAAACAACACGCGAGCCATTCTGAAGAATAAGTTAACTGGTGATTAATCTTCAGCCCCCCAAAATTTCTCTTCCAATTCAACCAAACAGGCCTCCAATATCCTGTATAGATAAACCTATATACAACTACAAAGCTTTTATAAAATCAGCCGCCCTAATTTGCCCAAACATATTGAGAACCCTCGCATGAAATCTGAATATGTACCGAACTGACCTATAGCGATAGTTTTGACTGGCTTGAAATACCAAAAGGGGATAGTTCGACCTGATTTTGAGACCATTTCAGAAGCTCTCTTCTATTCCCAAAAAACTGGCTCAGTTATTTTCCTGATAGTTTATTTTCAAATTGGGGCATAAATCAACAACCAATTTTGCCTTCCAGTGTACTTGGGACTATACTTTATTTTCGGTCGTAAATTCAGTTGTTTGCTTGGTTGGTTTTATCTGTTCACGATTTCAGGGCGAAATGGGGGATAAAGATGTTAGAGTTCGAGTTTGTTTTCTGCTCATAGGTAAGACCTCAATCTATTTTACATTTTGATTAAACTGGTTTGCATTCAGTTTAAAATTTAAAATTCCTTTTTTTGCAGTAAGTTTCAGAGCTAAAATCTGGAATTAAACTAAGTCATGAACATCTTCAAGAATTTCAGAAATTTTGCCAGCCCACTATAACTTCAATTCACCTTCGATCCCTTTATGCATTTTTTCAGTTTTGCAAACATTATAGGGTAAAATCTACGCAGCTTTGCAAATATTATAGGGTAAAATCTACGCAGCTTTGCAAATATTATTGGGTAAAATCTACGCATAAAACCAAAGCCCTTCAAATAAACCTTTCTCTTAGAACCCTGAAGTTCAAATCCAGGAATTTAACATCAAAAAACGATAGGTTGATTATTCATAATCACTATTGCACCACTGCTTAGGAATATCGGCAGTCGCATTTATTTTTTGAGATTAACACGACTGCTTCTAAAGCAGCGATAAGCATTTGTTGTTCCGACTGGGCTATTAAGCCAATTTTTGATTAAAGTCAAAAAGATTTTTGATTGAAAAAATGTCAAAAAACATTGGAAAAAAAGACAATTTTTTTTTTGGTTTTTATGTTTCAATTAATCGCCCCACACGCTAATTTAAACTTCAAAGGGAGCTATTTAGCTTTTGCATCAGGTTGTTTTTCAACTTCTGAATAAAATCACGAAATTTTTGTGCTCGGCGTGTTTTTTCCTCCAGTCAAATTTCGACTTTTTAACTGACCATTTCGAGCCAAAAATCCGCCTCAGAAATTGTTCCAAATTGACTTAGTTAGTTGAATAAAAACTAGTTTTGTTAAATAGCTTCGCAAAATACAATTTTTAGAAAACTTCAAACACTGCAGATTTGGGACTTTTGATTTTTTGAATGACTAAGCATTCTGATCATCTAACGGAGAAATTGAGCATTTTCTGCTGTGTCTTTCGAACAAAGTAAGAAATAACCTTTCTAACCTGTGATTTTCCCTGAGACTAGTTTTGACAATCGAGACGAAAATCCTCCGCGCTGAGGATCACTCTAAATTTACTTGATGAAATTATTTTACAGCCATTTTAGACGACTTGAAAGTGAGAACTCGAGAAAATTAAAAATTGAATAAAAATTAGACAAGCTAGTCAGCCGCAAAATGTTCAGAAAAAACTCTATTGAGTGATAAAATCAATCAAATTTCAAAATGAGACATTTTTGCCAAACCTGATAAGCCTCAAATAATGATTTAAGCAATTAACATTGGTTCATGCTTGCCCTACTTATCGTTTTGAGTACAATTACAGTTGGTTGAGCAAGTCAATCCCATGCTTTTAAGACCAATTCAACACTCCAATTTTGGTAGAACTTTTTTATAACTAAAAATCAACTGAATTTTCTTTGTCTGAACTTTCTTGAAGATTTTGAAGAATAGTCTCAACCTCAAAATACTGAATTGTCTTGATCCGAAAACTAGGGGTTGGGGAGGGGGCGGATGCTTGTTCAATATATAGGGACAAAAATATGTTTAAGGCAGCTTGTTCGAAGTCAATGAGAATTTTTTCGCGTACGATGTCTCCAATAAGGCTAATCAGGGCTTCAAGAAACCTTTCGTAAGTGGACTCTTTTTTGCTGCTAAGCAAAACGTAAACACAGGGGGACAAAAGCTGCCAATCTGGATATGTACTCTGTACAATTGATAAAACTGAGACGGACATATCTCAAAGAATCCATCACAAAGCCAAACTTTGCTATGAGTGCGAAGAGCATTTAAATTTTCCATGTCCCCGAGAATAAGGAATCGCTCACTGTCTTCTTTTCCACTATCATGTAGACAAAAAGGTAAATATTTATCGGGAATGTCGAAGTGACGGTCGGTTGATGAAATCACTTCGAGTAGTCCTTGCATTTTGTTTCTATTGAGGGTTCTTGTCAGGGCTGCACGTGAAGGAAGTGAAAGCTGAATTGCCGGATTATTGTTCAGAGGCTTGAGGCTAGCTGCTATCAACTGGTTGTTTACAGGGTTTGTTTGCGACTTTGCTGTTTCTTTCAACTGACTAACTAGCTGCCTTGCTTCTACGCCATAGTATTTTACCATTAGCACTATCTCTATATGGCGTCTCGAAATAATTGAGGCAGTTGAATTATTTTTTTTAAAATTGCGATATAGATATATGCACCAATCTTTGATAATCTATATCATAAATTAATTTTTAATCCTCTATGGGATATTTTAATTGACGTTGGCTGTTTTGTAATGGGCTATTGTGTCCATTGGGATATATTGGTAAGGGATATTTTGTAATGGGATACTTTCGTATGGGATACTTTGTCCTGTCACCAAGGCTACGTTTCATTGGATGGAAATTAACAAGATCAATTCCAATCAAACCCCTTGGTACTAATTTAAGACATCCTTTTTCGGTTGACTTACCTTAACGTTTCTCTGAAGACGCCTTCGTCAATGTATATTAAGTTTTATGGGTGAGCGCGCGGCGAAAAGAAAAATTTATGGGTCAAAACTATCAAAAAAGTCTTTGTAGGGTTTTTTAATGATTTTGGAGAGCTCATAAAATCAAAAGGTCGACAAAATTTTCGGATTATTCTTTTGAAACTCGATCACCCCCCCCCCCCCCCCAGCGAAAACCCTAGATCCACCCCTGCTCTTTTCTTACCCACATTAAAGCTTTCGTGCCGGCTTGTTTTTCAAAAAAACGAAAAGTCATCGCAATCGGGGTTTATGCGAATCGCAGAGAAGCTTTCAATAGCCTTTTCAGTTGTGTCTATGGTTAATTTGTTTGAACATTGTTTCAAAGACAAGCTTTTTTTACCTCTCAAAGCCATTTTTCACGTCTGCAACTTTGACGTGCTAATATTATTGTGGCCGAAATTGCTCAGGCTGTCATGAACTCTTTTTCTTCTATTTTGTACTTTTTTGTGGTAAAATTTATCAAGCCAAAATTGCTCAGGCTATCATGGACCTGAATCTAGGACGCCAAGTAAGTGCTCGTCCTCACAAACTATCATTTACTTGGTAGGGGTTCGAACACTCGATCTGAAATTCTTAAAGAGGACGCCTTACCTCTACGCTAAACGAACGAAAAATCATTTAACGCAACAACTCAATATTTTTTTATTACATTTTTTCTAGAAACGCTGAAAGATAGTCTAAAACAGGGGCGGAATTAGGGGTTAATGCCCCCTCTTTTTCCTCCGCAGGGATTCGCCACCTGCCGACCCAAATGGTCGTCTTTTGTAACTTTAAAAAAAATCTATTTTTGACGGACTGACCCTAAAAACTTTCTAGATGTCAAAATTGTTGCTGCTGCGGCGCAAAACTTTTTGTCAAAATACGGTCTGCCAGTGTTTTGGGAGTGCTCGGAAACTCAATTTGGTGTTCATCTAAAAAGTTCGACAATTTTTTTAAAAAAAACTTTAAAATCCGATCGAGAAAAACCTAGATCCGCCCAAGTCGGAAAAACCAAGATTATGCCTTGATACAGGCTATATGGGTCAATTTGTGATATTTTTTTAAGTTAAAATGCCACATCTTTTCATTCAACAGAGGAGCTTATAAAAAAACTCGATAGCATTCTGAGATCTCCTGAGCGTTATAAATTGATTTAAGCAAATGCTTTTGGTAACGGCTAATTTCACAGAGCAAAATCTGTCCCTCGAAATGCATTTTCTATTTCTGCAAGAGGGATTTTTGTGAGAACTGAAGCGCACTACGCCGACTTATTGAAGCATAACTGTATGTGAAATGAACTGTTTTGTTTTCTATAAACTTAAAAGAGCTCGCATTATTTGGGCAGGAAGCTGACAGCTTCTTCATTGAAAAGCCGGAAGATTTAGGAGTTCTAGCACTACTGCTGAAACATAAGTTTGCTTTAGAAACTCAAAAAGAGAATATTTAACAGTCAAAATTTAGCAAACCCTTTTTTTTGTTTAAGAGAAGCTCGCGAACGCTCACTTCCTGCCTTGCTCCTTGTTTCATTTTTGGCTTAGAAACGATTAGCAGTAGTTAGCTTAGAAGTTCGGTCCTCGTTATCAATTTTTTTTCGCATTTAACTAATAATTTTTGCTGGGTTCGTTCTCTTTATTTTACTCTAACTCTGAATTTTTGATTGAATTTTTTAACTCTGAATTTTTTAGATCAGGCCATCAAAGTTTCCGCAAGTGTTGCTGGCCATCACACGCCTTTTCTGAACACGTGCATGAATTTGATGTTCTTTTGCCTGTTTACAGCATAGCAAGATACAAATAAACTTTGATTATCTTCAAATCTTCAATCATGAAGTGCCCAGCTTACTGTTTGACAAAAAGCCGTCAAATTATACGCCCTTAAACTGATCAATTGATTGGATTTTGATATACGAAATTGTCTTCGTAATCCAATTATGATTTCATATATATATTGATCATTAATTTTTTCAGAATGTTAGGTTTTAGCTACTACGGCCTGCGGTCAAAAGATTTTGATTTCGAGTGTGTTTCGATTCAATCGTAGAGCTACTTCAAATCTGTTTCGAAGCTAGCTTAAGGTTTAGTGGGCCATTTGGCAAATTGTCATGTTAAAGACAGACGATTTTTATTGTTTATACCGGCGCCTGTCCAATTTTACTTCACTCTCGTAATCAAACAGCATGGATCAACGCAGAGATTTTCTCCCAAGTGTCGTTTAACTCAATTCTTTTGAAGCCTAGAAGGGAAATTGCATATGCGATAACTTTTAAAATGCAAATGGCATATGCTGAAACTGGTTTTTGAAGAGCGTTCAAGATTGTCAAAGTACAAAAATGCCGAAAGCGAAAAAATTTCGTAAAACCAAAAAAAAATGTTTTTGGAAGTTCTAAGCTTCTTTCTAATTTTCTTTTGGGTTCAAATTTGAGAAAAATTTATTATAAATGTAGTAATTGTTTATTTTCAAAAGGTTATTGTGGCAAACTAGGAGAGTCGTTTGTTTGTTTTTAGTGAGCCATTTGCAATTACATAAACTTTCTCGCTTTTACTTGCTATTCGAGTTCATACGCTAATTTTTCCTAATTCCTTTCAAAATCTTATTTTTTAAAAAGTTTTCGACACTCCTGAACATTTTTTTCGGCGTTCTCGTACTTCTACTATTTTGTACTTGACCGTTTTATGGCTCAAGTGTCGGTATGTCAAAGATCCCTTCAATACATTTCATAACTTGGAGAAAACACAAAACACACATGAGCTACTTTTTCCTAAAACAAAACAATTTATTTTTATATCTTTGTTTCAGTAGCGAATCATGCAGTAGCGGAGGAAACATGAACTATAAGGTTACTTTTTTCTACGCGATGAAATCTTTTTAAATCGATTTTAATTGATTATTTTTAACTTTTTTTCGAATGCGAAGTAATCCTTTCATTCAATTTTAACCAACTTCAACCGTCTACAATGAACCCATTTCAGTTTTTTTGTCTCTATAGGGGATTAACTCAAGTTTTTCAATCATGTTAAACTTACATTGGTTACATGCAAAAAACCCCTCGCGCTTCAAAAACAAATTTTCAAGAAATTGTTAGTATTTGTCTTAGTCATATCTCAGTCTTCAGTCGTGCGGAGGGACATGGTATACTGTACAAAGGAAGGTGGGCTATAAGAAGAGATATCAATTTTATAGAACTTTATGCTAAAATCGCGGCTGTCAACTTTTTGATTTTTCTAAATCTATCAAACACCAAATAAGCAAAGCAATTTGCAGGACAGAAATAATTTTACTTTTCGAACAACAATACTTTTTTTTGTGGATTATATTCAAATATTAAGGAGTTTAGTGGATTTTTGCTGCAAAAGTTAATTATAATGAGTCAATAAATCCATTGCATGGTCGTAATATGCCATCTTCATTAAATTTTTTCATGATATCATTGAAAAAATTGTATAATTTCATTATATAAATTTTGTATATTTCCGAACATCTTTATTTTTTTACCAATTAAACGCCGATTTTCTTACCAATTAGCAAGCTACGCGACTGAAAGTAGTACCTACTTTGTTGGACCACACATGAAATCCAAAACATTTAAGCAGAGATACGCGTTCTTACCTAAGCGCAACTAAACTCAAAGCATATCACTACTAGCCAAGGCTATAAAAATCTATTTTTAAAATTAAAAATGATTTGAAAAAATATGTATTTTTACTTTTTTTTTTCATTGGTGAAAATAGAAATGACAAATAATTTTTTTGTAAGTCATAGACAAAAGCTGTTTGGAAAATCATTTATTGATAATCATGTTCACAGTCCCTACAATTCAGACACATTTATTTACATGTTTAAAAAAATTCTCCCTGAAAGTTAATGGGCAGAACACAGATCGGACTTTTGCCAGGAACAAAATACTGTGAACGAGTAAGGCGAGGTGAACAATAAGCATTGGAAATTGTCCCCTATTTCGCGACCAAAATTTATGTCACGCTTATCTTTGAACAAAAATTGTTCTGATAAAATAAATATGAACATTTTTCTCTGTCAAAAAAAGAATTGTTTTATTACCAATATACATATATGCAAAATATATTTTTACAGCCCTGCTTTTCGCGCCGAGGTTCAGTTTTGTAGCTGACGACTAAGTTTTGGGCTATCTCGAGGCTCAAAAAAATCATCTGTTAGCATTTTGAATAAAATTGTGTTTTTGAAAATGACCAGTGTCAGCAACTGTTGGATTTATTTATGCGAGTCCTTCGATCTCTTTTATCTACTCTTCGCAAATCGTGACAAATGGTGTTTTCAGATCACTATCGATTTTGTGACGCAAAGTTTGTAAAACAATGAAAAAAATCGTACTACAAAATCAAAAGCACAAAATCAAAAACTAAGCAAATTCATGTTGTTTGAGTTTTGCCATTTGCGGGTAAAGGCAGCGCGCTATTAACCAGTTCTCTTAACACGTAGCGTGAGACGCGTTAAGTATTTAGGCTCAGATCTAATTCAACCTTGCATTGCGACAAGTTACCTGTTCCAAACAATTATCACTAGTTGAAGTTTTTATTATTATTGAATTATTTTGTACTAGAGATTCCGTGTGAGGATACAAAAAAACCGAACGAGAAATTGATTTATTTTTGCTTGAATATACTTTATTTTTTTCTTATTTTCCGCAATTTTTTTAAAGGACTGTCAGAACGTTTATGGTTTTTCCCTGTTGCGATCAATCTTGTATCTTGGATCTACTGAACAATCTCCCAGCCCTATGGAACCTAATTAAAAATCTCCACCCCTATAAATAAACACAGTAAATTATAAATACAGTAAATTATATTCTTATAACGGGTGGAGATTGTTAACTAGATTCTGTATCTAAAAGGCGCCTAACTGCGTAACTCTTCAGCCAGTCGAATTGCTCGGCGTTCGAAAAACTGCCAAACTAATACTATGCTACTAGTCTCAATATATGTCAGCACCAATTTGGCAAGGCGTGTTGTGGATGAAGAGCTGGGTAGTTTTAAACTAGACTGCTCGTATCAGGGTGAAACCCTGAATGTTTCGACTGGCTTTTAGGGTCTGTGGAGCAATAATAACATGACAAAATTAAAATGTACAATAATAAAGTTAGTTTTTTTTTAATTTGAGATTTTTTGTGATCTACACACGCCATATTAAGTACAAAGTGATAAATTTTGATCCTATAAACAAAATAATTATGGCATATAAGCTTTCTTGAACCAATTTGGAACTATTTTTAAGACAGATTAAATCTCCGCTTACGTGTTAATAGCGCTATATCTATCGCGCATAAAATGTCCCAAGTTAGCCCCAATGGTAATATTTAAGCCCGCATAATTTTACCAAAAATGTTCACAGGTGAAATATTTTTTCAAATTTAAGCTCAAGACATTAATAGTTTCTGAATTTTATCAAAAAATTTTGTCTTAAACGGCTAGTTTAAAAAAAAACCCACCCCGAGCACAAATATTCCATTACTTTTGTTACAAAAATTGGAACAATAAATATTCAAACATGGATACTTATTGTTCCAACTTTCGAAAAAAACCGGAAAATTTATGCTCGGTTCTTTTTATTCGGTCAATTTTCGCCGATTTTTTTTTATAATCCATTGAAAATATCGACTTCTTGAGTTCAAATATAAAAAGATATTTTACCTCCTCCAATTATTTTCTGTAAATTTGTTGAAAATTGTCAAATTGAAAATTGTCAAATTGGCCATGTTCTAGGCTAAATTATGCCGCTTTGAAGGGGGCAGTACAACAGTGCCGAAGTACAGCAGTGCCAAAAACTGATGATTTTTGGAACTGTTGAACAATAAATTTATTTTCGGCACTGTTGTACTTCGGCACTATTGTGATGCCCTTAGAGGGGCGTTCAACTGGGCCGAAGTCAAGAGCTCCGAAATTAAAATTTTTGTTCAACAGTGCCGAAAAACATCAATTTTCGGCACTGTTGAAAACTTTTTCATTTTCGGCACTATTGTACTTCGGCATTGCTGAACGCCCGCCTTTGAAGAGTTTGTTCATAATGTTGAGAGCGTAATGCGAATTGTTTTTGTGTGGCTAATTTTCCCGCACACTAAAAACATTCCAAGTTAAATTGAGGCTAGCTAATTGGTCGTATTAATTTCGTACGACTCAGAGTTTTAAATTTTTTATTGTTCAAAATTTACAGCTTTTCAATGCTTTTCCCTCAAAATCTACTCGATATGAGTTAAGGGACAGTCGAAACATTTAGGGCTTTGCCCTGATATTTCATACGTTTATCCAGATATCAGCAATCTTGTTCACTTCTATTTCATAGCTCTTAAGTAGTTCTGCAGATGAGTCTTAATATTCTATATTGAGCTGCAGATCATGTATTAGGCAGTCTCCAAGTTTGTCCATTGATTTGTTGATGACATTCTGTTTACAAAGAGGTCATGACGAAATTCATAACGAGCTCATGATGAAGTCATAACGAGGTCATGATATATTTAATACGAAGTCATGATATAGTCTATCCGAGTCATGACAAAGTCATAACGAGGTTATGACGAAGTCATAACGAGGTAATGATATATTCAATACGAAGTCATGGTATAATCTATCCAAAGTGTCATGACAAATTTATAACGAGGTCATGGTAAAGCCATAAGGACGTTTCAATTTCAGGCGACGTGGACACTAAATCGCAGAGCTTCAGTGCGGAAGTGTTGATTGAGGCGAGGTGGGTGTCGACGCCAGAGGAGGAGCCATTCGACCCCAAACTAGTCGTGACCAATCTAGAAAGCACCGTCAAGTAAGAAATCACATACAGATATGTTGTTGCTTTTCGCTGAGTTCAGATATTAATGCAAGTAATGCAGATAATAATGCAAATACACGGAAAACTTTATGAGAAAAAAAATTCCCAAAAGGATCACTCTGAAAGTAAACTTGGAACGCAAAAAAATTTAACTGAAGAACTGTTTTTTTTAAGAAAAAAACAAACATGTTTCACTTATAATATTTTCTTATAATATTTTTTAAGCTTGTGATATTGCATGAATAATATCATTCATTTTGCAATATTTGAAAACTGCTGCAAATGCTTCAAACTAAAGTTAATTTTCAAATTGTACTTTAAATTTTTGAACTTTCTTGTCGGCATTTTAGAGTTAAGATTTAGAAATAATGGCCTATGGTCTGAAATTTTCTACCGAAATGGATTTATGATTCTAGCAAATACGTAACATAAAAAAAACAATACACCTATGCAACAGTACCGATAGATGTTTTGACGTATATCAAATAATTTAGGGAAAAGACGTGGGAGAATAAGAATGTGATGGATTTGGGGGAGGGGAGGGGCAAGCGGGAGTACCACACCCTCAGCTGGAGACTGCGGGGCGTATTCTACGAGAACATGGAACTCAAGAGCTTCCCCAGAGATGTGAGTAGGCTTGATGGGCTAATATACCCAGTAGATATGCTTTTTATAGTTTCCACTTTACCAAGTGAGTTAGGACCGATGTGGTTAACTCATAGAGCAATTTCGGATAGGGTACACCGTCTGCTCGTCACGCTATCATATTTTCGGCCGGATAGATTCGTGCAACTTCTTAGTCTAATACCGATCCTAATCTTACTCTTATACTTTCTAGTCTCAGGGTGTTTAATTAGTCTCTGCTAGGCTCAATAGATCTAGGGTATACTGGTTTGTTGCGGCTGCTGAAGTTCTCTTGGAGAGACAACTAATTTCTAAGTTAAATTCAAATCTCTCTGGTGCTGAAATTACAAGTAATTTCAGCACTTACAAATAAGTGGGTTGTTAGTTAGATGGATCATGATTGGTTAATATTAAATACTTTACAGTGGTAAAATATCTAATTTATCCAATCATAAAATGTAGTTTAGATCAGGTTCCACCCATCCGGGTTTTACAGAGTTTTTTAGAATTATCTTTCTGCAATTCAAAGGATGGATGATGAACGTTTGTATTTGGCGAACATCGTATTCTTGTCCGGTTCCTCTTGTTAGAGAAGTTCCAGGACGCTGGTTTTAGGGGCATCAATCGTTGTGTCTTCTCGTGACAACGACTGTGTTTTTTCCCAATGAAATCAATCTGATTTCAAAATGGTTTGCTATGACGGGTTTTTCTGTATTATGTAGAGAACTTGTTTTGTGTTCAACCTCGTCTGGGAATGGCGTGGAGATTGTGCGTGCAGGGAATGCCTTGTAACTCGGATCTGTACGTATACTTGAACATCGAGGTGGTCATTGGTCTAGTTCAATGAAGTCCTTTTCTGCGAAGTCAAGTCGTACTCTAAATCCTTTGAGTTGTGATTGTGGACGGCATATCGGTTGTGGTTAGCCATTCTTGTTCGAGTGTAGTGGGGTTATTTTGTCTTTGGATGTTCGTCTTTGTTGTTGTGTGCTGATCTATATACTGCAAGGTATAATTTACATTGTATGAAATTTTTATTAGTTCAGTTTTTTAATTATGAATTTAGTTAGTTGTTTTCACAAAAGCATTTTGTTTTAGTTCGGTTATTTTGAAGAGTTACTCACCCTTGAGTACCTCTTATTAAAAATAGAAAAGTGATCACAAAGCTTGGATGTAGCGCGGTGGGTTAGGCCGGCTATAGAGCATGCTCAGGACGTCCTCTCTGGTGGGTTAGGCCAGCAATGGGAGTATGATTTCGTGCGGTTTCTTTGAGAGGTCCTGTTATGTGATAACGTTTTATGTTGGTTTTATGTTGGTAAAATATCTAATTTATCCAATCATAAGATGTAGTTTAGATCAGGTTCCACAAGCGACCAAATTTTTTGGTCGAGTGTTGGTATTTTTTGACTTTCTCAACCAAATTTTGGTATTTTCGACTTTCTCGATCAATTTTCGGTATAATTTAAAAAATTTCTAGAAAGTTTGAAAGTTTGCTTAGGCAATTTATTACTTTCATTTTTTCAAGTTGCACGAGATCCCGTTATTAAAAACGAAATATTCCACAATATTACATCAATTTTTGGTATAATTTAAAAAACTTCATGAAGCTTGAAAATATGCTTAGGCAATTTTGTTACTTTCATCTTTTCAAGTTGCACGAGATCCCGTTATTAAAAAAGAAATATTCCAAAATATTCCACCAATTTTCGGTATAATTTAGAAAAAACTTCAAGAAAGCTTAAAAAAATGATCAGGCAATTTATTACTTTCATTTTTTCAAGTTGCACGAGATCCCGTTATTTAAAAAAATATTCCACAATATTCCACCAGTTTTCGGTATAATTTAAAAAACTTCAGGAAAGCTTGAAAGTTTGCTTAGGCAATTTATTACTTTCATTTTTTCAAGTTGCACGAGATCCCGTTATTAAAAAAGAAATATTCCACCAATTTTCGGTATAATTTAAAAAAATTCTAGAAAGTTTGAAAGTTTGTTTAGGCAATTTATTACTTTCAATTTTTTCAAGTTGCACGAGATCCCGTTATTAAAACAGAAATATTCCACAATATTACACCAAGTTTTGGTATAATTTAAAAAACTTCATGAAGCTTGAAAATATGCTTAGGCAATTTTGTTACTTTCATCTTTTCAAGTTGCACGAGATCCCGTTATTAAAAAAAAATTATTCCACAATATTCCACCAATTTTTGGTATAATTTAAAAAAACTTCAAGAAAGCTTAAAAAAATGCTTAGGCAATTTATTACTTTCATTTTTTCAAGTTGCACGAAATCCCGTTATTTAAAAAAATATTCCACAATATTCCACCAGTTTTCGGTATAATTTAAAAAACTTCAGGAAAGCTTGAAAGTTTGCTTAGGCAATTTATTACTTTCATTTTTTCAAGTTGCACGAGATCCCGTTATTAAAAAAGAAATATTCCACAATATTCCACTAATTTTTGGTATAATTTAAAAAACTTCAAGAAAGCTTGAAAATATGCTTAGGCAATTTATTACTTTCATTTTTTCAAGTTGCACGAGATCCCGTTATTAAAAAAGAAATATTCCACAATATTCCACCAATTTTTGGTATAATTTAAAAAACTTCAAGAAAGCTTGAAAATATGCTTAGGCAATTTATTACTTTCATTTTTTCAAGTTGCACGAGATCCCGTTATTAAAAAAGAAATATTCCACAATATTCCACCAATTTTCGGTATAATTTAAAAAACTTCAAGAAAGCTTGAAAATATGCTTAGGCAATTTTGTTACTTTCATCTTTTCAAGTTGCACGAGATCCCGTTATTAAAAAAGAATTATTCTACAATATTCCACCAGTTTTCGGTATAATTTAAAAATCTTCAGGAAAGCTTGAAAATATGCTTAGGCAATTTATTACTTTCATTTTTTCAAGTTGCACGAGATCCCGTTATTAAAAAAGAAATATTCCGCAATATTCCATCAATTTTCGGTATAATTTAAAAAACTTCAAGAAAGCTTGAAAATATGCTTAGGCAATTTATTACTTTCATTTTTTCAAACTGCACGAGATCCCGTTATTAAAAAAGAAATATTCCACAATATTCCACCAATTTTCGGTATAATTTAAAAAACTTCAAGAAAGCTTGAAAATATGCTTAGGCAATTTTGTTACTTTCATCTTTTCAAGTTGCACGAGATCCCGTTATTAAAAAAGAATTATTCCACAATATTCCACCAGTTTTTGGTATAATTTAAAAAACTTCAGGAAAGCTTGAAAATATGCTTAGGCAATTTATTACTTTCATTTTTTCAAGTTGCACGAGATTCCGTTATTAAAAAAGAAATATTCCGCAATATTCCATCAATTTTCGGTATAATTTAAAAAACTTCAAGAAAGCTTGAAAAGATGCTTAGGCAATTTATTACTTTCATTTTTTCAAGTTGCACGAGATCCCGTTATTAAAAAAGAAATATTCCGCAATATTCGATCAATTTTCGGTATAATTTAAAAAACTTCAAGAAAGCTTGAAATAATGCTTAGGCAATTTTGTTACTTTCATCTTTTCAAGTTGCACGAGATCCCGTTATTAAAAAAGAATTATTCCACAATATTCCACCAGTTTTCGGTATAATTTAAAAAACTTCAGGAAAGCTTGAAAATATGCTTAGGCAATTTATTACTTTCATTTTTTCAAGTTGCACGAGATCCCGTTATTAAAAAAGAAATATTCCGCAATATTCCATCAATTTTCGGTATAATTTAAAAAACTTCAGGAAAGCTTGAAAATATGCTTAGGCAATTTATTATTTTCATTTTTTCAAACTGCACGAGATCCCGTTAATAAAAAAGAAATACTCCACAATATTCCACCAATTTTCGGTATAATTTAAAAAACTTCAAGAAAGCTTGAAAATATGCTTAGGCAATTTTGTTACTTTCATCTTTTCAAGTTGCACGAGATCCCGTTATTAAAAATGAATTATTCCACAATATTCCACCAGTTTTCGGTATAATTTAAAAAACTTCAGGAAAGCTTGAAAATATGCTTAGGCAATTTATTACTTTCATTTTTTCAAGTTGCACGAGATCCCGTTATTAAAAAAGAAATATTCCGCAATATTCCATCAATTTTCGGTATAATTTAAAAAACTTCAAGAAAGCTTGAAAATATGCTTAGGCAATTTATTATTTTCATTTTTTCAAACTGCACGAGATCCCGTTATTAAAAAAGAAATATTCCACAATATTCCACCAATTTTCGGTATAATTTAAAAAACTTCAAGAAAGCTTGAAAATATGCTTAGGCAATTTTGTTACTTTCATCTTTTCAAGTTGCACGAGATCCCGTTATTAAAAAAGAATTATTCCACAATATTCCACCAGTTTTCGGTATAATTTAAAAAACTTCAGGAAAGCTTGAAAATATGCTTAGGCAATTTATTACTTTCATTTTTTCAAGTTGCACGAGATCCCGTTATTAAAAAAGAAATATTCCGCAATATTCCATCAATTTTCGGTATAATTTAAAAAACTTCAGGAAAGCTTGAAAATATGCTTAGGCAATTTATTATTTTCATTTTTTCAAACTGCACGAGATCCCGTTATTAAAAAAGAAATACTCCACAATATTCCACCAATTTTCGGTATAATTTAAAAAACTTCAAGAAAGCTTGAAAATATGCTTAGGCAATTTTGTTACTTTCATCTTTTCAAGTTGCACGAGATCCCGTTATTAAAAATGAATTATTCCACAATATTCCACCAGTTTTCGGTATAATTTAAAAAACTTCAGGAAAGCTTGAAAATATGCTTAGGCAATTTATTACTTTCATTTTTTCAAGTTGCACGAGATCCCGTTATTAAAAAAGAAATATTCCGCAATATTCCATCAATTTTCGGTATAATTTAAAAAACTTCAAGAAAGCTTGAAAATATGCTTAGGCAATTTATTATTTTCATTTTTTCAAACTGCACGAGATCCCGTTATTAAAAAAGAAATATTCCACAATATTCCACCAATTTTCGGTATAATTTAAAAAACTTCAAGAAAGCTTGAAAATATGCTTAGGCAATTTTGTTACTTTCATCTTTCAAGTTGCACGAGATCCCGTTATTAAAAAAGAATTATTCCACAATATTCCACCAGTTTTCGGTATAATTTAAAAAACTTCAGGAAAGCTTGAAAATATGCTTAGACAATTTATTACTTTCATTTTTTCAAGTTGCACGAGATCCCATTATTAAAAAAGAAATATTCCGCAATATTCCATCAATTTTCGGTATAATTTAAAAAACTTCAAAAAAGCTTGAAAATATGCTTAGGCAATTTATTACTTTCATTTTTTCAAACTGCACGAGATCCCGTTATTAAAAAAGAAATATTCCACAATATTCCACCAATTTTCGGTATAATTTAAAAAACTTCAAGAAAGCTTGAAAATATGCTTAGGCAATTTTTTTACTTTCATCTTTTCAAGTTGCACGAGATCCCGTTATTAAAAAAGAATTATTCCACAATATTCCACCAGTTTTTGGTATAATTTAAAAAACTTCAGGAAAGCTTGAAAATATGCTTAGGCAATTTATTACTTTCATTTTTTCAAGTTGCACGAGATCCCGTTATTAAAAAAGAAATATTCCGCAATATTCCATCAATTTTCGGTATAATTTAAAAAACTTCAAGAAAGCTTGAAAATATGCCTAGGCAATTTATTACTTTCATTTTTTCAAGTTGCACGAGATCCCGTTATTAAAAAAGAAATATTCCGCAATATTCGATCAATTTTCGGTATAATTTAAAAAACTTCAAGAAAGCTTGAAATAATGCTTAGGCAATTTTGTTACTTTCATCTTTTCAAGTTGCACGAGATCCCGTTATTAAAAAAGAATTATTCCACAATATTCCACCAGTTTTCGGTATAATTTAAAAAACTTCAGGAAAGCTTGAAAATATGCTAAGGCAATTTATTACTTTCATTTTTTCAAGTTGCACGAGATCCCGTTATTAAAAAAGAAATATTCCGCAATATTCCATCAATTTTCGGTATAATTTAAAAAACTTCAGGAAAGCTTGAAAATATGCTTAGGCAATTTATTATTTTCATTTTTTCAAACTGCACGAGATCCCGTTATTAAAAAAGAAATACTCCACAATATTCCACCAATTTTCGGTATAATTTAAAAAACTTCAAGAAAGCTTGAAAATATGCTTAGGCAATTTTGTTACTTTCATCTTTTCAAGTTGCACGAGATCCCGTTATTAAAAATGAATTATTCCACAATATTCCACCAGTTTTCGGTATAATTTAAAAAACTTCAGGAAAGCTTGAAAATATGCTTAGGCAATTTATTACTTTCATTTTTTCAAGTTGCACGAGATCCCGTTATTAAAAAAGAAATATTCCGCAATATTCCATCAATTTTCGGTATAATTTAAAAAACTTCAAGAAAGCTTGAAAATATGCTTAGGCAATTTATTATTTTCATTTTTTCAAACTGCACGAGATCCCGTTATTAAAAAAGAAATATTCCACAATATTCCACCAATTTTCGGTATAATTTAAAAAACTTCAAGAAAGCTTGAAAATATGCTTAGGCAATTTTGTTACTTTCATCTTTTCAAGTTGCACGAGATCCCGTTATTAAAAAAGAATTATTCCACAATATTCTACCAGTTTTCGGTATAATTTAAAAAACTTCAGGAAAGCTTGAAAATATGCTTAGGCAATTTATTACTTTCATTTTTTCAAGTTGCACGAGATCCCATTATTAAAAAAGAAATATTCCGCAATATTCCATCAATTTTCGGTATAATTTAAAAAACTTCAAAAAAGCTTGAAAATATGCTTAGGCAATTTATTACTTTCATTTTTTCAAACTGCACGAGATCCCGTTATTAAAAAAGAAATATTACAATACATACGTGGACTGAAGGAGAAGCGATCGCTTCTCCCGCCTACTCAAAAATTTGGCACTCTGCCTACTCAACAAATGTCCTTATTATCTGTCACCTTAAAACATTAATTAAATGTCCCATGGAATTTACTGTGTCAAAATCAATAATGAAAATTCCAGGAAGACAGTAATGGTTTTAAATTCAATTAAATTTTTGTTTTTGTTTTCATTATTTTTCACCCCAGACATCATGATAATTACAAAGTGACATTTTCTTATCTAGTAGGCCTTATTTTGACCATTTAGGTTGCCTCAGTTCGATTGAAATCATTTTTGAGGCTGATTAAATCGCTGCTTGCTCTACGCGTCAATATAGCATGCACGAATCAGCCCAAAAGAGCAATTGTTAAACCCCATGAATACAAAAAAAAATCACGGGCGGAATATTTGTTTTGGAGCTGCTTTCAGGGATGCCCCTGATATTGTGCTTAAAGGTCACAATAAGTAGAATGTAATGGCAAAGTCTGAAAAATAGCTTTCTTTAAGATGTTTAAAAGAGTTTTCATGTTAAAGATACTTACCAACACTTCAAAAATTGAAAAGTTGCGTCAATATAGAATAGCCGCGGAACACGTTTCCTGGTTGGCTCAGTAGTTGGCTTCTGCTTAATAATTCAATTTTCCAGATCTGGATTTTTGTTTTTTTTTCGAAAAGAACTTCTTCTATCTATGTAATCGATTAATTACATTTTTTCCTCTAACTCTCTCTCCCTCTCTCTAGAAATTTATCAAAAACTGTATGTTGATTTAAAGCAGGTGTAAATTAGTGGTTCTCCGTTAAGATTTGAAAAGCTCGTTTTCTGATCCCTTCCCTTGAGGATAAGTCGTCTTAACTCTTTTTATCCTTAGTTAACTATCTCTCTATTTTTCTAGATCCAGGATCTAGGGGTGCGAGTGTCGAGTGAGCTACACGCGAGTGAGATCCAACTGAGTGTGGATGAGTCACGGGTGGGGACTGTGGATCCGGACACCTTCAGAGACGGCGAGGAGTGGATTCTGTTCAATCATGTGGAGGTAAAAACCCTGTCTGTTCAAACAATGATTCTCTACTTTTAAGTCGTAAAATGTTCTCAAAGTGTCTTGTCTCTTTCCTGGTCTGCTTGTGATCAGTCAGTGTAATTTGAAGGTGGTGTGGTTTAGACTGAGCACGTGCCTGAAGAGTCCCAGTCGGAGGTGGGCAGGGCCAGGAGGGTGGAGAAAGGCTACACTGCAGGAAGTGTCATCGCCATGTGCAGAGTCGCCAGAAGAACCAAGTCAGTTAATACCTGCGCTACTTTTCTTCAGGGGCGCATATAGGGTGGAGGGCGGGGGACGCTTTTTTTTCAGGGTTTTGACTCCCTCAACAATCAAAGGGTCCCCTCCATTTCCTATTTGATATTATTTTTTGACAACCAATTTTAGGCAATCAACCCTGAATTTTTTTCTGAAAATTATCCCTTCCCCCCGCCTCAAGAAAAACCTAGATCCGTCCCTGGTTTTCTTATTTTTGTTTTCCCAAAAATTAAATGTTGAAGACCTGGACGCAATCTTAAAATCTATGAAATAATAACGCTTTTTTTCGAAAATAAAAATAAACTGTTGGAAGTTTTTTCTTGATTTTTTTTTCCTGAAAATTTCAATTTTCAACACATCAGTTTTTCAGCCCATCATTTTATTCATCTTGGTAAAAACTTTTTTCGTTTTCAAAAGGACTGTTTTCAATTTCTTCTTCAAAACAATTTTTATTTTTAAAATTACTTTTCGCAAATTAATCAAAGCTATAGTTATTTTAAGTTCTCAACTTATTCAAACTAATATCTTAGTTTGGATTAATTTTAACTTCCGATTCATTGCTGTTTCTAAAATAATCGCAGTTCTCAAATTAATTTGAGTCGTCCACAGTTTGAGGTTTTCCAAAAAAAAATAATTAGCAGTTTTCAGACCAATATTATAGTTCAATGATGTGTGTGTGAGTGTGAACAAGCTCTGTTTTCAGGTTCTTCATAGTGAACAATGTGATGTTGATGTTCAGTCTGGTGGTGTTGTCGTTGACCTGTTTCGCCTTTGACCCCGGATGGAACACCTCCCGAATCAGCGGCTCCATGACTCTCCTCTTAGTAGCCGTTGCGTTCAAACTCAGTGTCGCCGGAAACCTCCCGGTACGCTACCACCCAACCCCTCTCCATTTCTCAAATAATGCATATTAAAATAGTACAATTCCAGTTTTTTTAACAAGTACCTTCGAATAACAAAACAGTCATATAACCTTCAAAACTGATAGTTAAAGAAAAAAGCGTCTGTATCTATCTTGAGTATGCCGCAGGTCCTGTCAGTGCTTGTTATATCGAGACTATAGTTTAGCTCAGAATTTTCTGAGCGTATTTTATTAAGCGTACATATTTCTGCGTTTGGTTCAAATTCGCTCAATCTTTTCATACTGATCGCAGCAGCTGAGTTAAAAAAGCAAAGTGCTGAAAATTAAGAACACCAGTACCACGATTCGAGACAGAAAAAAAAGATTAAAAAAGAATTTGAAGAAACCGCTCGATAAACAACTAACTGGTATTTCTGGTGTTTTTCCAAATTAGAGTTTTTCAAAATACAATCAATTTTGTAAATTATCAGCATAAATTTTTCCCTTCCAATTTGAAGGTTCTTTTAAAAAACGAATTTACGATTGAAAAAACTTTTCCCTTAAACAGTTTTTTTTTTGGAAATTAAAATAAGATCTAACTATGAAATAGGACTGTAATGTAGAATAATTGCCCAGAGGAAGAGACGTCACTCGACAGACCAAAAAATCTCCTGATGATCTTCTAAATTGGTACTGCATGAAATTATGAATAAATCAATCTTTGGATTTAACATACCAATTTCAAAATAAACAAGACTGCTTGTATCAGGGCGAAGCCCTGAATGTTCCGACTGCCTTTTAAGGTTTATGGAGCAGTAATAACATTTAAAAATTCAATGAAATAAAACAAAAGAATTTTTTTTTCTAAAATGTGAAATTTTTTATGAAAATCATCCCCCCACACGCCATATAAAGTACAAAAGGAAAGATTTCGCTCCTTGTAACAAACCAACTGTAGCAAATAAGCTTCTTTTAACCAATTTGGAACAATTTTAAGACGGATTAATTCTCCGCTTACGCGTTAATAGCGCGAAATATATCGCGCGTTAATTGTCGCAAATTGGCCAAAATGGCAATCTTTAAACCCCCGTAACTTTACGAAAAATGATCACAGGTGAAATATCTTTTCAAATTTAAGCTCAAGACAACAATACCTTTCGAATGATTTAAAAAATTTCCGTCAGAAATGGCTAGTTAAAAAGTCGAAATTTGTCTGAAGAAAAAAAACCCACCCCGAGCACAAATATTCCGTTACTTTCGTATCGAAAGTCGGAACAATAATAATAATAATTATCATTATTATATAAAGTACGCGGATTCAAATTCATAGCTAAGTTTTTTTTTGTATAGGTGATCTCATACTTGACGTACCTGGACGCTTACATCTTAGGAGCGATGCTCTACCTCTGTCTCATGACAGTTCTCTTCGCCCTTATCTCCCCCTTCAAGGAGGAGGACTACGCGAGGACCATAGATATAGGTTGCATCATCTTCCTAATGCTCTTCATCATCATCTTCCATGTCATATATGGAATCGTGTTCTTCAAAAACACCAGCAAGTTAGCATCAAACCCAACTTTTAACTCTTCGATTTCAAGAGATTAACTTAGAGTCATTTCAACCCAAAAACTATTTCAGAAACTAAATGCTGAAACATAGAAAAATGAATGGAACGGCTATTCTTTTCAAAAGCAGATATAGAGGGTACGCTCTTGTCGAGAAATTCCACCCCTAAACCACTCAAAAGATCCCCATTTTGGTGCTGTTATACAAAAACAATTTATGATAAGCCAACCCTAAAGAAAGCGCGAGCCAATAAAACTCAGTATATTTTTTAAATAGTTTTTAGGAATCTTCCAAAAAATGCCCTAGAACGGCATTTTCAGCCAGTTTTTTTCAAGTTGTCTGTGACTGTAAAAGTGTTTTAAAAATTTGCACCACTCTATCTTCAAAATTAAATACAAACCAAAATTCAATTTTCAGAACTAATTTTCAGCGTTTCATGTTAATTATTTTGTAACTTTATTTGAAATCTCAAAATAAAATCAACAAAAAATTTATAGTCTATTCCAAATTGTTGGCCAAATTGATTGCTGATACCCTGAAAATCGAGCCTATTTTCTCAGGCACAGAAAATTTATTTTTTAATCAATATAGCACCTACTCAGAAAAAAAACATCTCAGCACTTTTATGAGCCAAAAGAAAAAAATTGTTGTGTCCGTGTTTGATATTAAGCAAACAAAGTTTTCGGTACAGTTTTGAAGCCCGGCATTTTGTCTGGCTGACGGTTGCTTATTTTACAAAAAAATGGACTTAAGTTTACATTTACACAGATGATGATGAGCAGCATAAAAATCATTCGTACAAAGCAGGTTTGTGCAAGTAAAATGCTCTGCAAATGATTGCAACAGTTTCTTACTGAAAAAAAAATATCCATTTAAAACAAAACTGCTTGTATCATAGAAAAACCAAGAACTTTTTTACTGTCGCTTAAGGTCTATTGAGTATTGTTCGTCTTAAAAAGTTTGACGATGTTTTCAAAAAATGGGATATTTTTTGAAACCGATCATCTCACTTGCTATGTAAAATACACTGTGACATATTTTATATTGCAAAGAATTAAAAAACACCAAGTTGTGAGCCTTAAGTAAATTTTGAATGACTTCAAGACAAAATAACCCTGCGTTAAAAAAACCAAATATATCGCGCAATAATTATCTTAAAGTGGGCATACTGGCAAATTTTAGGCCCCAAAACGTGGCAAGTCTTAGTATCCACAATATTCTGTCATCCTTCTTCAAAAAATGTAATATCAACAAAAAAAACATCAAAGAAAGTAAAAACCATCAAAAAAAAATTAAATTTTTCCACATAAATGACAGGGAGAGATTTTTGAGTTCGTAGAAATCAATAAAAATAATTTAAATAAATTAGGGTTAATTTTTGAAATGAAGCTTGGCTCGGGGAAAAGTTAACGATGGGCCACATAGTGGGGCGGGTGGTCGGATGGTTTTTTTGGTTGGTTCCTGTTTCATTCAAAATCTATTTCAAATCAAACAAACTTTTGCTCAAAACCATGCTTTTCAAAAAACATTTTGTCTCACTTTTAAACAAACAACAAAAATTGAGTAAAAAACGTGAAATTGGACGCAAAATTTGCCAATATAAGTTGATTAGTTTTGTAAGTTTTGCTCAATTTGAAAAAAAAAAATCATGAAATATGTTTGATATAGTATGCAATTCAGTATATCTTGTATATATATTAATGCACTGTATGATTCACTTTTTGAACAGTTGTGTATAATATTGATGAAACCTTGGCTAAATTTCACAAAAACACATATGGCGCGAATATTTACTAATTTTGAGGGGAGAGAGCGCGCCAAAGAACCCAACATTTTGGTCAAACTTTATTAAAAAGTGTCTAAAAAGCCTTTTTTACAGTTTTTATTTTCTAAATTTTGACTGCGGCGCGCAAATTTTGGTCAAATTACGGTCTTCATAGTGATTTGGGAAAGCTCAGATTTTTTTTTTGAAAATTCACCTCAACCCGCGAGAAAATCCTTAGTTCGCCATGACAGTAATAAAAAAATCAATTTTACGAGATTTGTTGAATGTACGTAGTATATGCGTAAAAAACGATCTAAATTGACTTAAAATTTAATTTTGATTGATTTCATATCGATTAAATATGAGTTCAAGTTTAGCTAGCAATTATTTATATCTAATAACAGATGAAACTGAATTGATTTAAACTCAATTTGTTTCGAATTTTAGGTAAAATGAAAGATTCTGTAATAAATCAATTAAAATTGATGTCTTTGGCAAATAATTGTATTGCAAACCTTTTTCCTTAGTACTTTTATGCGTTATCGGCGCATAAGTGTCTTTCTGCCGTAAGATCAAGGCGGATTGGGGGTCGACTTAAAAAAAGTCGGCAAAATTTTTTAAAATCTGCTCCTCTCATACCAAAAAACCCTAGATCAGTCCCTGCCCCGCGAAACTTTTTTGTCTCGTCAGATCTCGGCTTTCTTTCTTCTACGATGCCTCGGCAAATTTTTGTCGAACTTTTTTGAATTGAGCATTATTATCAGAAGGGTGCTTTTTGCTTAGTTTTTACCAGCTGGAATAAATATTGAACAATTGTGTTCCAATGTCAAAATAAGCAGTTTTAGTTTAATCGATTTTGTTTTGATTATTTAACCGAAAAGGGATATTGCTAACAAATTGGTATTAATTTTACTATGATTATATTATAGTAAAATTTATATTTTTAATTTAATATTTATATTTTACTATAATTGGTACTATAGTTATACTGAGTGCGTGTTGCAGGAAGCATGAAGAAATGAAGCGAAAAGATCAGGAGTATGAAGTGAAGATCCAGAAACTCCTGGAGAAGGAGAAGGCTGGTTCAAAAGGCAACAGCCGACAGGGAAGCACCAAGAGCAGCGCTGGTACAAACGCTCAAAAAGGAGTGGCATTAGAGGACGTTAAGGTGGACAGTCGACCATCAACTGCGCACGACGTGAAAGAGGAAGAGGTGTGAACGAAGTGTGAAAGGAATTCGAAAGCTTGAAAGAATTCCAAAAAGCCAACAAAATTGATGCGAAGATATTAACTTCTATCGAAAAAAAGGGAAAAAAAGAAAACTGAAAAAAAGGTCTGAAAAAGCAACGATAACGAGATGATATGATGATATAATAAAATGAGACTAAAAACGGAAACTAAGAAACAAACGATGATTTGATAAGATGCGACTCAGAAACCTGAATGCAAAAAAACTCCCACTGTAACCTTTTTTTGCTAATAATTTGTGTGAATATGTTATTTTCAAATGAGTTTTAAAAGTTCCAATTTCGCCGCTATCTAATTATGCATCAAACTATTTGCTAAAAATAAATTTTTCAATTGAATAATTACCAACGTTTGAATAATAACCCATATAAGTTTTGTACACTTTCAACCAAAATTCCTGCTGATTTTCTCAAATAAATGAAAATTTCATTGTCTAATAAAACCTTGTTGAAGTTTTTATCTGTAATTCAAGATTTTCTGCCATATTTTTTTGTAAACTGATACGAAGCTTTCTTCTGATCATAGGCCTGATCCTAGTGCAAATAAAATTGAGCGAGCCGCGTCGTTTCGACTTTGTCGGCCACATTTCGGTATTGTTGAAGTGTGTTTTTGTCCTTCTTGGTAGTGTGCAGCCCTGGGCTTCTCTAAGCCCGAGTCTAGCTAGCAAGGGCGCACAGTTTGAGTAAGTGCTACGTTCTTGACAGTGACAACAGAGCAAAAGCATGAAAAGTAAATTGCAAAGGAAGCTAGAAGCTAGAGCAATTTAGAAAGTGGAGGGAAGAGAAAAAGGTCGAGAGTGTTTACTTATATAAATAATAAACCGAGCTCCAGACTTTGTTGATTTCAACTTACTCACTGATTTTCGAGAAATTGTTATTTTTGCTGAAATTTGGGTGTTTTTCTGGATCTGACACAATTGTGTTACTTGCCCGTGAAAGAACGGACGACCAAATCAGTGGTTTTAAATAGCCTTATACAGATTTTCTCCTAAACTTTTCCGGTGCTAAATTTTAATTTTTGTTCTGCCTCTTTTCATCCTTAAGCTCTTTCTGTATTTTTGACATGCTTTGAGCAAAATTAAGTTCGAAATGAGTATCATGGGATTATTTTTGGTCGCAAATGTTGGGATTTACTTATTTACATTATTAGCTGTAAAGAAAAACCATAAAAGCATAATATTATGATGTCAAGTTAGACGGTCCTGTGACATTTTATGACCTTCTCGATCAAAAATTAAGCTCATTTTGCTTGAGCTTACAGTGATATGCTTAGACTATGCTCGACCTATATTTCGATTTTCTCGCTTTTTTCATCTTACAATTAGTTTGATTAAGTTCAACGTAGAAAAATTATAATGTACGCCATTTAAGTGATTTTTCTTAGTAAGTTTGGATCTGAGTAAATTTAAAAAACCCGGGTTGACGAAAATCCTTGATTGGATCTGAGTAAATTTAAAAAACCCGGGTTGACGAAAATCCTTGATTGACAAAAGCTTATCATTCAATTTCATACAAGAAAAAATGCGTAAATACATTTTTATACAATTTCATAGGCTGAAAAAATTGTGCGAAAAAAGCAAAGTGAGCGATTTTTCCACACTATGAAAATTTATAATAAGCATTTTTTGCCACAATCTGTTTATTTTTCGCCTTAATTTCATTTTTTTATACTATGAAATGGTATGACAAGCATTTCCCCATCCTCTATGAAAGTGAATAAAAAGTATTTTTCAATAATTGAAAATTCTAAAAATAATTGTTTCAAGTTTTGTGTTAAATCCACAAACGCAATAGCCATGAGACTTTATCATGCAAAAACCCAGAGTGTAAGTGGCAGTTACCACGCAAATAAACTGCATTTGGTGATATTAGCCATGTAATTTAGTATTAACATTTTCACTCAGAGTTATTAACTGAAAACATAAGTTTTATATGAGGCTAAAGAAATTTTACTTTTAGAAATTCAGTGTTTGAGAAAATAAACATGTTTTTTTTAAACAATTTTAGGTCTATCAGAGCATATGAAAAACAAAAATAGTAAATGTTTTTTAACAAACAATCGCTTGTGACTTTTTTTGATTTCTTGGTTGAAAAATTCAACTTATACTACGTGGTTAGATAAAAAAAAATTAGACGTGGAATGAAATGTTTATTTGAGCACAGCCGCGAGTTTTTAATCTAAAAGGGATTAAAAAAACTTTATTTTAAAAATGTGTTTTTTCTATTGAAAAAAGCTTATCATACAAATTTCGGAATTGAAATTGTATACTCAACAATTTTTAGATTCAAACATTTTATTTGATCTCAAACAAAGTTGCTCTCATATAATCAAAACTGTCACTAATTTGTGATGTTTGAGTTTTAAACCAATTTATTATTATTTTCGAAAAAATTTCGATGGCAAAAATGCTTATCAAATAACTTTTTTTAAACCAATTTATTATTATTTTCGAAAAAATTTCGATCGCAAAAATGCTTATCAAATAACTTTTTTACGAAAATTGTTTGATAAGAATTTTTTCAAAAGCTTCATACGTAAATACGTAAAATTTTATAAAAAGCAATTTTCTTGTATGGACAGTTGTATGGACGTCAACCCGGGATTTTATTGTGAAGTCAAATTCAATCGTTTCATTTTTTTCTACTTTTACGTTGACTCTTCTTACAAAAATTCGCTTTGTTTGGTAAACTTAATTTACTTGTAGTTTCATGGTTCAGGAAATTTTAGTTCTGAAAATCTTGTAACGGATCACCTGAAAAACTTATTATGCTGTAAGCCAGTATGCTCAGATGATTGCTGCTGCATCCAACACTCTCTTGAAGATAATTTCGAGTTTGTATATTTCAGTTTGAAATTCAAAAAAACCAAACAGCTCGACCACCTGAGAAATTTCAGACCAAAAAGTACAGACGGATGATTTTATCCAAAGTCTGCAAAAAAACATATTTTTTTTCTTGTAGTTAGTTAAGGACATCATCAATCTCGTTTTGATACCAGAAAGCCTTTGAAGAAGGTCTTTTGAACAACTCTTTTGAAAGGTACCTGCTTTTTGATAAAAAATCAGTCACCATTCAAAAGAGTTGTTCAAAAGTCCTTCTTCAATTGTTTTCGTCAAAAGAGTTGTTCAAAAGACCTTCTTCAAATGTTTCAAATTCAAAAAACAACCAAACATTTCGACCTAAGAATTTTCAGACTACTAAAAATACAGATAGATGATCTTAAAACAAAGTCTGCAAAAAATTGGTTTTCACTCTCATTTTAAACATCCTTTCAAGTGGGGAATTATTTCAGCTAATGGACTATTCGGTTGTGTAGGAGCGTCTAAGCAAGCTTGTTAGCAACGTTGAAATAAATCAACAGGAACACGACAACTTAATCATAATCTTTAGAAAACAAGGATAGGATAGCCGGTTACTCTGCAAGTTTTTTTTTTCTGAATGGTGCGATTACAAAAATCTGAACGGAAAAAAAATCTGAACGGAGTTTAGGCGTATTTGACAATCATAAAAATTTAAGCTAATTGGAAAACAGTTTTTGTAAAAAAAACTTACAAGAATACCAAAAAAAAATTTAAAAAACTCTTATTGGGCCTTAATATGATAAGTCACTCGACCTATTTCGCTGATTGTTTGTCTTAAATGATCGGAACAAGAACATTTAAAATGGTCAAAACAAACATCAAGTAACCGTCGCAAAAGACCACACATTAATAAACGTATCATTGCCTCATTTTGGCGACCATTGTACAAAAAAAAATCACTAAATGTCATCAAACAACTCGACTGACACCAGAATCAAACAGTGAGTTCTCCATCAGACAACAAGTGCTATCCTTACTATGTCAACCTCACCTACAATCAGCAGTTCCATCCCTAGTTTCTCGTATAAGATCAAAAGCAGTTTCAAACATAATAAATAATTTAGGTTAAACCCTTTTCTCGCAGTTGCTTAAGTTTGCCCAGCGAGTGCCGAGGTTGTGATTATATGTACAGAATATTACGTTCGCTTGTCGGAACTTTTAGAAGATCGCGATTGGAATTGGGTATTTCTAGACAACCTGATACTCAAGCTTTAACAGATTCTCTGGGAATGACGCAATCCAGGAAAAAGTCAGGAAATTAAGGTTCGGCCGATGGGTGGATAATTCTAAGAATAAAAGGGAATTTTTACTGTAAAAAAGCAATGGAGACGAGATTGTATCCGTTCAAGCGAAATCATAAATCATTTCGAAACCAAAAGTTTATCTGAGGCGAGCTAATTGCTCCAAAAAAATTGATGGAAAAACTCTTTCTTGTTGAGTTTTTTGAAGTGTTACTTTTGGTACCTAATTTAGTGTGGCAGAAGTTCGAAATCTAAAATACACCTGGAGATAAAACTTTTTCTCGCTTTCATTAATTCATAATTCATCCTAAAGTGATATCAGCTTCTAAAAAATAAAACAACAGTACTTCAAATGTTGGACAAAGCGGAGAAACAGAACTTTTAAAGACACTACTGAAGCAAAATGGATGCGACCAGCGCGACCGATGAAAAAATGTCTCTGAATCTTTTTTTTTCATAAGCGTGTCTTCGGAGTTAACTTGTGTGGAAATAAATTAAACGGCATATAAAATCTGGTAAGCAGCAGCTGCTACATCAACTGAAAATTGGAAACCTGGGTGTTTATTAATTCACCAATGTGCTT